TGCCAGCGGAGCCGGAGCGGGGCAGGAAACTCCGTGCGCTTGTTCACTGCAAGGTAAGCGCTACTTCTGGGCCGTGTTTGTCCTCTTAAATAATCGCACAGAATCCCAGAATGGTTGAGGTTGGAAGGGACCTCTAGAGATCACCTAGCCCAACCCCCTGCTCCCTAACCCCACAAATGCGTGAGATACTATATATATTTTTTTGGTAATGCCTCTGCCTGCTCTGTCACCTCCACTAAGGGCCGGTGGCTCCCAGCAGTGGGACGAGACAGAGCAGGGCACAAGCAGAACTGCAGCGCGAAGCGAAGTCCGTGCGGCAGGAACCTACTTGAGCTCTGGCTTCGGCTGCTGCTTTCTGCATCCTCTCGTCGCGCAAAACCTTCAGCCATTCCCTTTCGGTGTCCTGGGGAAGGGGGAGGCCTTGATCCATCCTTGAGGAAATGGTCAGCAGAAACTGCTCCCTGTCCCTCACTTCCTGCTGGAGTTTAATGGCCAGCGCTTGCTTCATGGACAGCTCTGCCACCAGAGCCATCATCTTGCGGGTTTTATCCTTGATCTTCTTCTGCAGTTCACTTGTCTGAAATCAACAACAGCTGCATTTTAATCAGGTCTTTGTTTCTTTAGACACTTACTGGACAGAGCAGGTAGATAAGTATTAGGTACATCAAAGCACAACAGCTTTGCTGCAAAGAGAGGGGTTGAGTGAAGCCTTTCCACGTGCCAAACCAAAGAAAGAAAGAAAATCACCCTGGCCTTGTTCTATGCCAGCTGCATCGTGCTGCTGCTTGGGTTTCTTTGTGCATCTCCCTTTCACTGAGCTCTCTTGCATTCAGAGCTTCTCTATTAAGGAATACGCTGCTGTCAGAAGGAAATAATTATAATAGCACAGAAGTAACTATTGAAAATTACAGCTTTCTTCTGTAGCTCTGCTTGCTTGAATAATAAGCTTTGAGCCACGTAACAAATTCAGCTTCTATCCTGCTGCAGGACTTTCCCTTATTTTATTTTAGTCATTAATGAGCTGGTTGTGGAAAGATGCACAAGAAGTAAACATGCACAAGGAGGATTCTCCCAGGTTAGTAACTGCTCAGCATGAGAAATAGCTACTCGGGTGCTTGGTGGAGGATGGTGTTTCTGCCACAGCTGGCTTTCAGAAAGGGAGGCTGCGGATTGCCCTGCTGCCCTGGCTGTGTCTGCACGGCAGCTCTTACCAAGTCTGTGCCGGTTCCGCAGGCTGACATGTACCTTGCAGGTCTGGCCATCGACAGCCCCGGGCCCTAGTGTGTGTTTTGGAGGATGGGGATTCTGGGCCAGCAGCGCGCGCGGGTCCCCGCTCACCCTCTTGGCCAGGAGCAGCGCGTCCCGCTCGCCGTCCCGCGCGCGGCCCCGCGCCCGCTCCGTGAGCCGGCAGACCTGCTCGTGCACGAAATCCGTCTCCAGCAGCTTCTCCTCCTTGCGCAGCAGCTCCAGCTCCAGCTGCAGCAGAAGGGACAGGCGCGGTGCGGGTGAGTGCGGCCGGAAAAAAATCGCTTCCCAAAAAAAGCCCGCGAGAAGCCGCGCAGAAAGGTCCGTATCAATCCCAAATATCAGACCCAAGTTAGCTCAGGCCGTTACCATCAGCACCCTCAGCTGCCCCTGCTCTGCGGTGGCCCCATCCCCGCGCCGCAAAGCGCAGCCTTGTGGGAAATGCTGGGGACATGTTTGTGTCCCTGGGAAGGGGGTGGACACCTGCATCTGAGACAATATGGTTAAAACGAAGAAAATGGTTCCCTTTCCCAGTCTTTTACCTTCCCCCACTGCAGGCAGTAAAGGAGACACCTTGTAAGTGGGTTTTACACTGGATTTGATGCTGCACTCTAATTCTGAAGCCTGTGGTGGGAATCCCAGGCAAGTGTGGGGTGCTCTGGGTGGCCTGGGGCCTGTTAACAGAAAAAGCTCCCACGTGGAAGCGGAAATGAAGTGGAAGCCAAATCATGAAAGGATGTTTGCTTCATCCCGCGTCACCTCCGTAGGCTCCTGAGGAGGCCAGGGGGGCAGTGTCAGTTTGCCCTAAGTCTGTTGTGACAGAGCAGCCAGTAAATGCTGCTTGCTGAAGGGAGAGCACCTCGTTCCCCCGCACTTTGCCATTCTGGATGCACTGCCCTGGGGCCGGCCTCGCCGCACAGCGCCCCTGCTCGCTCCCTTCCGCAGCCCTGGCCGGAGGACATCTGTGTCCCATGCCCAGTTTTCCTGGAAAGCAGAGACTGGGCTGGAATTCCCATTAGCCACTCGTAAGTATTCTAGTTTGCCTTACAGAAAGTTCACTTAAGAAAAATCCCTATATATCATTTGCTTTGTCTTAGAGAAGCCAGTGGTGGCACGGGAGGCTGGTGCAAGAGATTACGTTACCTTTTTGATCTTTTCTAGCAGCTCGGGTGGAGATGGGTCCTTCCCTCCCAGGATTCGCCTTCTAGTCTCGTTCTCAGGGTCAGCAAAGATTTCCTCGAGATGTTTAATCCTGTCCTTGCACTGGGAATACTGCAGAACAAAAACCCACAAGAGTTACAAGCAAAAAGTCCCGTTATTACTGTGTGAGAAGAGAGAGAGGGTCTCAGTGGGTCGGATTTACTCCCAGAGAGTCATCACCAAAGCCCAGGAGATGCCCCTTGCAGCCACGTCTGAAGCCCAGGTCCTGCCTTGCTTCCAAGGACTGGCAAGGATTTCCAAGGACAGCGCGAGCAGGTCCTCACCTCGCTCATCGCTGTGGCCAACGCACAGGGTCCCATGTGATTTTGGGGTTGGGGTAGCACAGCGACTAAAAACATTTTTTTTTTTAAGGAGGTGACACTGGCAGTTTCAGCATGAGGGAAAATCCTTCTCTCTGCCAGATATTGCGATGCCACCTTCTTCAGGCTGCTGGGCTTTTTTACACTCAGGAACACCCCAGATTTGGGCACCAGGGCAGGGGAATCCTCCCTTACTCTGTGCACCCGAATCTTCTGTTTGCCCCGCGGGCTGCCAGGGGCCCGGGGGGCAGGAAGGACCCCGTGCCTGGCAGGTGAGTGGAGCGCGCGCGCTCCGCGGTGCTGCTGCTGGGCACGGGAGTCTCCTACCGCTGTGTGTGTGCTCAGTTCCCAGACAAACGTCCGGGTGTCACTCGGCTGCGGCACTCGGAGCAACGCGGTGCCAGGGTCATCCACGGGGGCAGCTGCTCTCCGACCCGCCAGACACCAGACTGTCATGTTAATAAGGGTTTTCCGGAGCATTCTCCATGCAAACCCATTTCTCATAAACATTTACTGAAGGGGTGACTGCTCGGGACCTTCCACCAAGTTTTGATGTTTGAACTTGCAGCACTGGCAGTTTTTTTCTGCTTTGATATACATATCAAACATATGTATATACACATATCAAATAAACATAGCTGGCCATCTGTCAGAGCACTGCCTTAACCCATTAGTACAAACATAAACAGGACTCTGATAACTTGATATAAACGCTACCCTTTTCAGGTGCTAGTGTTAAGGAACAAGTGGTCCCTGGCACCTAAAGCTGTAAAGGGCCACCAGGACCCAGTAAATATTTAGGTGTTGCCTCAGTGACAGGGTTACTGAAAGTTGATGCTTCGTATTTGAAATGGAAGAGGGAAACCTGGCAGATGGTCTCGGGCAATAACGGAGCGTTACCACAACTTCTGTTTTGGAAATGGCGAAGCAGCAGCATCCAGACCCTTCCTTTTGCAGCTTTTCTAAGAACAAGGCAAAGTAACAAACCAACCAACCCCCTCTTAAATGACTGTAATGAATAATTTCCTCAGCAAATCTTGATTTGATTTAAATATATGTCATTCAGTATATGAATAACATACAGAACCAGCTTCAAATTCTTAGAGATTCTAAGTCTGAAAAGCCAAAAATGCTGCCTTATTGAAGAGCATTTTAAACAGAAGATAGGAAAAGCATTTACAAGAGAGGCCATTTTTTAGGTTTGCTTTAGCCAGTCTTGAATGACGAGATGAGAGGGAATGCAAGCTTAGATACTGAAAAGACTTGTCAGAAAAGATGGAGTTTGGGAGCTCTTTTTGGAAATTTCAGATAAAGCAGGTGATGTACCTAGAGCACTAGAAAAGGGCAAATATTTTTGCTATATTTACAAATAGAGAAATAAATAAAAAAACAGATAACATCTTCATTTTATTATTATTTTTTGAGACAGGTAACTTATCTTCATTTTATGAAGAATAAATCTGGAACAAAAAATCAAGTATTGTTTGTAAGTAGTTAGAAAATAAAAGGGTATGAATAATGACTCACGTGGATCTCTTGAGCCATACCAAAACCATCTGATTTCTTACCAGGATAATTTAATGGACATGGGATTGTGGCAAGTTTTAGACACTGCACTTTAAGAAAAACACAGATTATCAAGAAAGGTCTCATCTGCTGCTTCTTCCTGACCACACTGTCCATAGCAGGCACATATTACCACGTCCCCCAGGTTGATCTGTCCACGAAGGCTGATCCCTAAACTCTCAGCAGGTCCTTTGCCCACCTCTGGGGTCATTTCTCAGAAAAGGTATAGGAGGCTTCCCATAATGGCATCCTATAGGCACGTCCTTACTCATGTGTATATGCTCGGGGCGACCCCACTTCAGCCCTGTTTTAGGAGGTCCCTTCTGCTCACATTGCTCCAGACCATTGGCTTTCCAGGCCATCCACCATGTCGTCATTTGTCGGTCATTCTCTCCCTCCTCACCATTCCTCACTTAAAACTCTCCTTACCAGGTTGGCCAGACTGCTGGCCGAGATACTTTCAGCCCCTTGGCTGTGTGGAAGCCCTCTCCTCCAAGCTATCATCGCTCCTCAGAGAAGGTCCCGTGGTCATGGAAAACCAAACCCCGTTGCCAACGGCAGCTGCACACCCAGTCGTTGGCCTGCAACAACTCCTAGGCCTATCCAGTCTCTCAC